CCCCTCCCCCTCCTCCTCCTCCTCCTCCTCCTCCTCCTCCTCCTCCTCTCCCTCCGCCTCCGCCCCCCCGAGGCCAGTTCTTAGGGCGGGCCGGGCGGTTCGCCTGAGACTTCCTCGCCACTTATGACCCTGAAGCGTAAAGATTGGCTACAGCGTCACAGATGGAAGGCGGGCCGTCTTCAAAATGTGGCTCTCGTCTTAGCGCCGCGCACATTTGCTTTTCAAATTTGCAACAAGAGCTTCACGGATTGAGGGCGGATGGTTTCAATATGTGGCTCTCGCCTCAGCGCCTCGCACATTCGTTTTGCAAATTTGCAACAAGAACTTCACGGATTGAGGGCGGATGGTTTTCAAAATGCAGCTTTCGCTTCAACGCCGCGCACATTCGTGTTACAAATTTGCTAGAGCTTCACGGATTGAGGGCGGCTCCTTTTCAAGATATGACTCTCTCCTTAGCGCCGCGCAAACTCTGTCGAAAAATTGCAAGACCTTCACGGATGAAAGACGGATGGTTTTCAAAATGTGGCTCTCGCCTTAGCCCCGCGTACATTCGTTTTACGGATGAAATTCCGATAGTTTTCCAAATGTGGCCCTCGCCTTAGCGCCACGCACATTCGTTTTTAGAACAAATTTCAGGAGTTCAACGGATGTGGCTCTCGCATTAGCGCCGCACATTATTTTCTCAAAGTTGCGAGAGTTTCACGGCTTGGAGGCGGATGGTTTTCAATATGTGGCTCTCGCCCCCTTGCCGCGCACCTTGTTTTGCGAATAACAGTTAAGAGACGAATTCCAAAAATTTCACGGACTCTCATGCTCAACATAACAGAAGTGGTGTTTGGGAAGGATTCCGGATTGTGAAGACGCAACAGTTACGTTGACTCGCGTGTTGAAGTCTCAGGAATGGCCTTCTGGCACGGCTCAGGATCGTCAAGACGCATCAGTCAAGTTGATCCGTGGCGCTAGAATCCCGAGAACAATGAGGCAGTTCCCTCAGTGGAAATGAACCGGTGTAGAGGCTTATGAAGAAGGAGCTTGGAGGGAGGGTGTATTCCAACATCGTTGATGACGCTTGGGTTTACACTGGTCCTCCTCCTCCTCCTCCTTCTCATCCTCCTCCTCCTCCTCTTTCCCCGTCCTGCTTTCTCCTTCTTCCTCCTTCCTCCTTCCTCCTTTTCCTCCTCTTTCCCTTGCCCTTCCTTTGGGGGCGGCCCCAGAAGGAACCGCCCAAGCAAGGCCCACGAGTTCGACCACGGTGGGAGCCCTCCGCGGGTGGCGCTACTGACACTTGCGCCACCGCTCAGGGCTCCACGGCAACCCCGCCCGCCTCAGGCGGGGCAGGCCCAACGAGACGAGGGGGCGCTGGAGGAGCGCCCACTCCCAGCGCCCGATAAGATTTCTCGGGGTCCTCGACCTCCGAGAGGACCGCGCGGAGGCCCTCCGCCCAACCGGAGCTCCCGAGGCTCCCGCTGTGGGGAGACAGGAAAGGGGCGAGGGAGGAGGGATCCCGAGGAAGGGCCTTTGCCCTTACGCAACGCTTCAAAGGGCGGCGGCCCCAGTCCGTGGGAGGGGCACAGGGCCTTTTCCTCCTCATCCTCCTCCTCCTCTTCCTCCTCCTCCTCCACCACCTTCTCCTCCTCCCCGCTCTTCGTCCCTCCTCCTCCTCCTCCTCATCCTCCTCCTCCTCATGATGCCATTGGTGGTCGGAGGATGCAGATGCCCTAGAAGTAGTCCGCTTCGTCAAAATCGATGCCACCAGTCCTAGAAGGCGGTCCAGGAGGGCCTCATCTCCCACCAGCAACGGCAAGGCAATGCGCATGCTGATCGACTAGCCAAGTTAGGTGCTGAGCCCCTTAGAGCCCCGCAAGCCCAGCTGTTGGTGATCGAAGGATGTGCCTCTCTCGCCCGCGAGGCTGCTCGGTTTGCGTCCTCCCAGCAGGTGATGATAAGCACTGACCAAGCGGCCGACCACGACGGTTTAGAGTAGCTCACCACAATGCCCCTCGAGGCTATCCCAGGGCTCCCCATCCCGAGTCCCGTGCAGGAGGGGGGTCCTCCTCCCCATCCTCCCCCTCCTCCCTGACCTCCAGCTCCTGGGGACTCTTGTGGGGAGCCATTGGAGGCTTGGGCCTTCAGGTGACACAGGCTGTGGTGGGCGGAAGTTCGAGACGGTCGGGAGAATGAGCTCACCGACACTCTCTTGATTTGTTCGACGTGCGCAGCCTAATTACGCCAGGGGTACGCACAAGAAGCCATCAAGGGGGGGGGCATCCACGGCCCTTGTGACGGCAGGCCCAGCTAGGGCCACTGCAAGCATGTGGAATTATTTGGGCAGGGTAAGTTTCCGAGATATGGGGACTGGCAAGTCATTCGTAACGCGCCCCCCTCGCTCAGCATCCGTGAGGAGTGGTCCAGGGCCCTGGCCTACCCCGCAGACATCCCCGCCCTGCCCTTGGTCCAGGTTCCTCGGGACGCCCAGGGACCCAGGAGCCTGGACACTGAG